GTCTTAAACTAACTTGCTTTAAACCGTACCAACAGTAATCAAAGCACAATACTAACATCCTGTCTTCTAAACTGCTTACCCTAAGAGCTACACGTTCATAATTCCTTCTCAATTAGGATTTTGTTGTAGCTGTACCCTACTTCTAGTTACCAATTTCTGTTTTAGTCCAGCTAGGTTATGCTGCACTGTAACAACTCCCCAAAATTTCAGTGGCTTAACTTGGGAAGAGTTGTTCTTGCTAGTGTTACACAGGTTCAATTCAAGTTGGTAGCAGGCTTCCAGGCTATGACTGTTCTTCATAGTCACTTAAGGACCCAGGCTGATGGACACATACTATCATGATCATCACAGCAGGGCAGAAGATACAGAGATTGGACATTGACTCATAACATTTCTGTTCATATTTTAATGACCCAAGTAACTTGGTCATTCCTGACTTTAGATAGAGCTGGGAAGGGCAGTCCTACCATGTATCCAGGAGAACCGGAATATTTATAAAGAACTTGAATAACTAACTTATATTCCTAATTATGACTAATTAGAGAATTAGTCATAATTAATAGTGACATCTTAATATACTAAATTTTTGTTTTTACTGTTTAGGCAATATACCTTAGGAAGGAGAAGAAAACTCTGATATGTAATTTTCTTTCTGTTTTTTCTCCTTCCTTTACTTTGCTCCTTCCAGAGAAAGTTTCTCCTCCTTTTCCTGACACCATTATTATTCTCATGTCATGTGCTTTTGATATTACGTCTTGAAGTAGCCATCCAAGTGAAAAGGCAAATAAGAATTTTACCATGAGGGATGACAAAAAAAGATGCTTTCTTTCTGTTCCTTCAGTTTCACTTGTCACATGTTCCTTTTTGTTCTGAATTTTAAAAACCCCAATAGCTTTCAATCTCTTCATATATTCCGCTCCCTCTGCCCCCATCACCAAATCCATAGCAAATTTCTATTATTGCTAAAATAAAGGAGAAATGTCTTCAGAATTATCAGTGTACATTTTTTTAAAAAACCTCTTGTTTTTAAATTTTTAATTTCAACAGGTTTTTGGAGAATAGGTGGTGGTTGGTTAAAATGAGTAAGTCCTTTAGTGGTGATTTCTGAGATTTCAGTGCACTCATCATTTGAGCAGTGTACTACTGTACCAAATGCGTAGTCTTTTATCCCTCACCGCCCCGCCACCCTTTCCCCTGAGTCTCCAAAGTCCATTGTCTCATTTTTATGCCTTTGTGTCCTCATAGCTTAGCTTCCATTTATGAGTGAGAACATACAGTGTTTATTTTTTCATCTTGAGTTACTTCACTTAGAATAATGGTCTTCAATTCCATCCACGTTGCTTCAAATGCCATTATTTTGTTTCTTTGTATGACTGAGTAGTATTCCGTGGTATATATACACCACATTTTCTTTATCCACTTGTTGATTGATGGGCATTTGGGCTGGTTCTATATTCTTGCAGTTGCAAATTGTGTACTATAAACATACATGTGCTGGTATCTTTTTTTGTATAATGACTTCTTTTCCTCTGGGTACATACCCAGGAGTGGGATTGCTAGATCTAATATTAGTTCTACTTTTAGTTCTTTAAGGAATCTCCACACTGTTTTCCACCATGGAAAGCTGTACTAGTTTACATTCCTACCAACAGTATAAAAGCTTTCCCTTTTCACCACATCCATGCCAACATCTATTTTTTTTATATTTTTGATTATGGCCATTCTTGCAGGAGTGAGGTGATACCACATTGTGGTTTTTATTTGCATATCCTTGATCATTAGTGATGTTGAGCATTTTTTTCATGTTTGTTGGCCATTTGTGTATCTTCTTTTAGAATTATCTATTCATGTCCTTAGCTCACTTTTTGATGGGATTTTTTTCTCTTGCTGAATCCAGTTCCTTGTAGATTCTGGATATTAGTCCTTTGTTGAATGTATAGATTGCTAGATTGCAAAGATTTTTCTCCCACTCTGTGAGTTGTCTGTTTACTCTGTGTTATGCAGAAGCTTTTTTGTTTAATTAAGTCTTATCTATTTATGTTTGTTTTTGTCCAATGCAGGACTCTTTGAATAAGGATTTCTAGGCATAGCCTTCTAAGAAATCGTGAACATTTATTTCTACTTCTTATTTCCATGTCTAACACTCAACTAAATGTTCCTCTAGAAGTATTTGGTATTCTGAGCCAGGGAAAATGTCTGCGTTTTGGCAGGGGCTTTGGCTTTACTTGAACACAAACTTTGTGATTGTCCATGTTAAGTGGGGTCACCTTTTCACAGTAAGGTTCCTCTTGTTGTTTCCTGTGATTACCTTTCCCTGTTCTCTCTGCTCTTATTAATGCAACCAATTTCTGCTGCTAGAGTTTTTGCTGCCACGACAAGCTATCATGCATGAGTCCAAGCCATTCAAATATCATTTTTGCTTTTAGAAAGACACAGTTTTGAATCAGAGGAGAATGATATTTGAATATTACAATATCTGTTAAATCTGACTTAGAGAAAATGTAGCTGAATAACCAATGTACCCTTGTACCCAGCTACATATTCAGATAGAATGCCCTTTTTTT